CCTAACTTCCCAACCCCATCTCCCATTATTTCATCCCAACCCATCCAACCACATACGCTGTATTTCAGTCATGCCAAACTGCCCACTGGCCCCCAAATATGCTACATTTTTGAACTGGCTCCTTCCACCCACCTTCCCTACCTGGCAAGCTCTGGCTCACCTTCCAAGACTCCTCTCCAATGCAACTTTCCTCCAGGACACCTTCCAACCTGAAGCAGAGCGAGTGGCATCTTCTGCTCTCCCATAGTACCTGATACCTGCTTCGATTGTGGGAACTTACTAGAGTGGAATTATTAGTTTACAGCCTCAACTGCCCTTGGATTCCCAGAGCAGGTAAGAACTACATCTCAGATACCTGTACCATGCAGCCCAGGATTTCTCAACAGCAGCAATATTGATGTTTTGGCTGGAAATTTCAATATTCTTTGCTGTGGGGGGTGTTATTCTGTGCATTGTAGGAGGTTTAGCAGCATTCGGGCCCTCTACCCACTAAATGCCAAAGCCACCTACCCGCATTGCGACCCTTGAAGAACATCTCCAGACAGTGCTCAGTGCTTCCTGGGGGCCAATATTGTCCCTGATCCAGAACCACTGCCCTAGCCCTAACAGAGAGCCTGATATATTCTAGGTATGTAATGTGCACTGCACTTGCTGAATTAGTAAATCAATGCCCAAGTTAAGGAATAAAAGCCCACATGAATCAAACATATAAACACCTTACTGTAGCTTTTACGCACGTATCAAAGCAAAGCTGAAATCTTTATTCCAGCAGTCACATCTCTTCATGAACTGGCTCTACTTCTGTCCTCTCTCATATCCTTTGCTCCTCACCTGTGGGCTCTTTTGCATTCTCATGCTTTCCCTTTCCATCACTCCAAATCCTGTACTTACTTCAAGATAAAGAACAACTTACCCACTTTAACAAGTACTCCCCCATTCACTGGCACCCCTTCATATAAGAATACATATATAATACACATATATCTATATATTCATTAGTTTTGTTTTAGAACTGCTTATCTTTTTGTTTCACATAGATACCTTCTCCTCAACTAGAAGAATCGCTCCTTGATAGAAAAAAGAGCTTACCCCTTTAAGTTTTTCTTGCCCTTAGCACTATGGCAAGCTTTATGAACAACAGATGTTTAGCTTTTGCTTAAAGCGTATTTTTTCTTTGAGGTCTGTTCAATCTGTATCATTTGTGTGGTCCTGACATAGTTTTGTTTTGAAGAGGCATAGGGCTAACTCTTTAATATCCTGCAGTTTTTAAATAAATGAATTTCAAGAAGATTCTGCAGATATGAATAAAAGTAATTTGCAATGTTTTGGAATGTCTATGAGAAGGCACTCAATGTGATAAGCAGTGAGAAAGACAAGAATGATTGTGTTTTTGTCTTAAATTTGGATTGTGCTTAAATTCCACTTAGGTACCTTTCCTCATCGCTTGGTCAGACGGTATTAAAAATTTCAACTTTCCTAATTTATTCTTGGCTCTCTAAACACACCAACATCCCTGGATCCCTCCTTCTTCAGGCGCACATGCAAATGCAGTGACGTGTGCACGCACTTTTTGTTTTTGAAACTGAGTCTCGCTCTGTTGCCCAGTCTGGAGTGCAGTGGTGAGTTCTCGGCTCACTGCAAGCTCCGCCTCTGGGGTTCACACCATTCTCCTGCCTCAGCCTCCCAAGTTGCCGGGACTACAGGCGCCCGCCACCATGCCTGGCTGATTTTTTGTATTTTTTTAGTAGAGACAGGGTTTCACTGTGTTAGCCAGGATGGTCTCGATCTTCTGACCTCATGATCCACCTGCCTCGACCTCCCAAAGTGCTGGGGTTACAGGTGTGAACCACCGCTGCACTTTCTTTAGTGCTTGTGTTTGGAAATTTCCCCACACTCCTATTCTACAGGGCATACCTTTTTTCTCATGTTGTTCTTCGAAGAGCTAATGCGTTTACCCATGTGTGCTCTCCTGTGGGGCTTCTGATACTTGGTGTTCAATGGCAGAGTTAAGGGGAACCTCCCCCTAGAACTTCCCAGCGTTGCATGAGCTCGTCTTGTGACAAGATAAATATACAGTAAACATACTGGAATGGGGTAGGATGGGAATAACTCTCTAGTTTCATCACTGATTTTTGAAACCCTTAATAAAAAGACCAAAGAATGCTTTTGTTCAAGTCCTGTAAATTTTACTTTTGGCAGATAAGCCTGTTGAGTCTTCAGTTTCTCCAGTGTTCCAAAGATCCAGGCTCTTCATTTATTCCTCTCTTGTCCCCTTAGCTGAATCTTCGTTCACCCTCGCTTCTCGAACTCCTGGTCTTAAGCAATCCTTTCGTCTCAGCCTCTGAGTAGCTGGGACTACAAGCCTGCACCACTGTAGTACATAGGAGGGGCCCTCTTCTCCTCTATGCCTACCCAGGGCCTCGCATTTAAAGCACAAAATCATTGTTCAATTCCCACCTATGAGTGAGAACATTGATTTTGTGTTTTAAACGGGAGGCCCTGGGTAGGCATAGAGGAGAGGAGGGCCTCTCCTATGTCCTACAGTGGTGCATGCTTGGAAGGGGAACATCACACACCGGGGCCTGTTGTGGGGTAGGGGGAGGGGAGAGGGATAGCATTAGGAGATATACCTAATGTAAATGACGAGTTCATGGGTGCAGCACACCAACATGGCACATGTATACATATGTAACAAACCTGCACGTTGTGCACATGTACCCTAGAACTTAAAGTATAATAAAAAAGAAAAAAAAAAACCCCACAAAATCAAAACACTTCTCGTGGCCCTGACTTCTCCTATGGTACCATCTCCTTGACTTACCACTTCTGCATCCTCACCTCACATCTGTACTCAGCTCACTACAATCTGGTAACCTTGTAGTATCCCCTCACTTCTGAACATGCACCCACTCTTTCTTAAGCCCTGACACTTCCTCATACTGCCACATGTTATGGCTTTCTTGATACTCCCCCTCCTTGACCCTGCAGCAGTCCTAACACAGCTGACCGCCTCTTTGCAGCTGCCTCCTGGCTTAGTTTTCTGCCCCTCATTATCCCTATCCCGTTGCCGGTTCTTTCTCAAATATCTTCATCATCTCACTGTTCACTTTAGATGTGGGTCCTTTAGATGTGGGTCCTTGACACACACACTCAGCTTCATTCTTTCCCCCCTTTCACACTCCTATAGATGACTTCTAAGTCGTCATGACTTAAAATATCAATGAAATGTAATGACCACTACATGTTTCTCTTTATCTTCATCCTCTGGAAGTTCCAACCCAAACTTTCAACTGCCTCCAGGTTTGCCCATCACCAGGCATCTCAAATGTGTGGCCAAACCCTGTTGCAATTTCCTTTCTACGTTCAGGACTTGCTCCCTTTTTGTCTCTCCATTAAAGGCTATCTATTCCAAGCCAGAAACAGGATTTTCGTATGACTTGTCTCTCTCGGTAATGCTGACTATATTTCTAAAGTATTTTGACTCTGTCTTATTTTTTTCATGTTGACAGATGGTCAAAATTGAGTTCTCTGCTACTGTTCTCTTCCTACTTTTGGACCCCTTCTCTGTGCAAGAACCAGATCTGATTGCCACCCCTGTCCCAAAAGTTCCTTGTTCTGAAGGCAGTGGAGAACCATGTCCACGTTAAACCAGGAATTCAAGATTCCCCACCACTGTGACTCTACTTCACATGTTCCTTCAGAGCCCAATTTCTTACCACTTCACTGACATGCAGGGGGTGGGCCAGCCCCAGCAGACTGCGCTTCAGCCCTGGCATGGGCTATGCACTTTCTTTTTCCAACTAGAATGTCAACGCTCTACTCAGTGATCTTTTTTGTGAAGCACCTTTACCCTTGGCTCCTAAGCAGAATGAATCCCTGCCTCTTGTGCCTCCACTGCACTTCCCTTCTAGTTCTATGATGCCACCATGTAATATAGTGGTTTTCATGTTAGTCACTGAGCTTAAGGCATCCATATGGTCTAGTGGGGTGAACAATATGTAATCTTATCTATTTGTCGGCCTGTCATCCATCCATCCCTCCATCAACCTGGCTAGCATTTTGAGACTGGTATGCCTGATGCCAATATTCTTGGATTCTGAATATTATCTAACTTCCATGCAGAGATAAAAGTACATGTTACAGGCTAAGTACATGATACAGGCATCCAGAATCATTTATGTCTTGATGACTGTTAAATTTCCAGGGGCTCAATAACTTAGTAGGTTTCAATAAATGTGTTGAAGGAACAAATGAGTTAATTCCTAGAAATTAATGGAAGATTGACTTAGGTTATAGGCACAGTAAAAACAAATCCCCCGCCTCTAATTAAACAAAATAAATTTACTTTCTCCAATTGCTACAGATAATGATCACTTATATATATTATGTACAATATTCTCTACTCCAAAATGTGTTTCTGGAGAAACAGATGACCATGCACTGGCAAGCATAGAGCAGTTAGGGCCTAGCAAGAGTAGACCAGCAGTCCTGCGGGAATACGGTCAGAGCTTCTGTAGCCCGAGGCCCTTACTGCTGTGACCTAGGCCACTCCCCTGTCTTGAGCGGGCCACGCACCAGCAGCACAAGCACCAGCTGGGTTTTTTAATTGTTAACTTCCAACTTTGCCACTTCCTTCCTTCTCCAATAGCTTCCAGTACTTTTCCTAATTTTTTCTTTTCATCTGCTTATGTACATGACCCCATTTTCTACTACATTACAACCCAACCACCCAAAAACATAAATAAGAGAGTAACTAGGTGAAGTGAGCTCCATTAGAACCAATACCCTAAATATTTTCAAATTTTCTTGAAAAAAAAGAAGACTATACTCTCAAGGATCATTTCTATAGTTTGTTACTAGAGAAGTTTCTCTGAATTTGTAGAGCACTGAAATTATTTAAAAAAAAAAAAAAATTCCAGGTAGGAGCAAATTAGATACTTCTTTGAAATGAAATAAAACTGGCTTAAATGACAATAACTATGACAATACACACATCCATGTTTGCTTTAAAGTCTTTATTATCCTGAATATAAAAAGACAGAGTCCTCTAGGATATAACAGAGTTCTTTACGTGGAAACATTATTTTTTTACAAGTGAAAAAATAAATACCTCTTGGAATAAAGGCTTATATGCTAATATGTGCCATAAAAAAGTAGAGTTTTAATATTTGACAAAATGTCTGTGCAAAGAAACAAATGCATACACACATTACTGCTACATTAAGGCAATATGAAAAGTATACTCAGAAATCTCAGTAAAGTGACAGTGTAGGTTTCTAGCTTTACCTCAGCTAGTATTGCACCCGATAAGGTCATCTAGGTCTCCCGACATCCCAGAAAACCTGCTAGCTGACCAGCTTCCAAAATGCCCAAGTGGGAGTGGAAAACATGTTTAAGAATACAGAAGCAAAAAGAACCAAAACCCCTTTGAAACATACAGAGGGGACAACCCAAAGTTAATACTTAAGCAGTTACTTTACAACAAAACCTCCCCCCACCCCCACCCCCAAAGAAAAACAAAACACAGAAAAGGACACAATATCTAAATTATGGTAAGGCTATAAAAGGCTTGACAGTTCAAGCAAAGCAACACCAGTGGGTGAAGCTGGATCGAGTGCTTGGGAGAAGTGATGAGTTAACTACCCTCAGTTGTACACCATGAGGCTCCGTCTCTCACTCAGCAAGCTCTGCTTTCCCTTCCCAAGGAGAGTGCTCTCTGTTTTCAGTCCAAAATGAAATATTCCACCAGCTCAGAAGGCCCGGGGAGTCCTTGACTACTCCACAGTAATCTTATAACAAAATTGGTAGTATTTTATAATCGAAAGGCTTGTGGGGGTAGGGATAGAGGGAGCATAAAGGAATAGGGAGCCACCCACATTGAGTGAGCTGCTTTTTACTAGCCACACTGCTTTAGATCTGACATCGTCAACTTTTTAAAAGTCACAGAATTGATTTGTAAATCTGTTTGCCTTCCAATCATTCTTGATCAAGTTATAAAGACAGAAATGACATTAAAACGACGACTTATGGAAAACTTTCCTATTAAAAATGGTTGGAGCTCCATGACCATACAAAAAGAACGAAATTCTTAAAAGTAATTCTTACAAAATCTGCTGCCAGTAGGAAACTTACCTCGGGATACATTAAGGAGACTTACAACATCATTTCCTAAAAGGTACCCAACTTTTTGGCTATGTTGCCCCTTCACTGACATCAAAGACTTTACCTATTCCTTTACTTGATCATTAAAAAAATCAACATCCAAGGAACGTGTCTGTGTCCCAGAGCTCCTCCTGGTCCCCACCACTGCAGTTGTTGATTCTACACATGGATATGTTTTTGCAGTGAGGAGTAGCTGTGTTATTTTTCTTCCTTTTTTTTTTTTTTTAACATTGCGTGGCAGATGGGTGTTGGAGTAATTACTTTCTCCACAATCTATCATTTTTATAGTTTATAATAGTGCAGTTCATGGAAACATGGCAAGTCCAATAAAAGCACAACAGATTAGATTACAGTCAGATTGAGAAGACTGGTGTGGGTTGGCAGATAGACGTGCTGGACGTGCTCCACATGCGACCTGCAGACGGGACATGACTGGAAAAGAAAAGCCAACAGTCTCTGTTAGCATGCAAGCCTTGGTGGGGGTCCTGTGTCTCTGCGTGCACCCCTGGTCTCTAGTGCATTTAATTTTCTAAATCAATTGTGATCACACTGATTTCTAGCTTTCAAATGATAAGAGATCTTTGCTGTCTCACAAGTTTGAAAGTTTATACTTTACAAGGGCTTAAACATAAATATTATGAAATAGTATAAACTGAAGGAAATTAATTATATTTTTAGTCAAACACTAAACAAAGTACATTGAGTAAAGCAATTACTGAAGACGTCTTTCTGTGCAGAATGTGGTCTCTACGTGAGTAGACTATAACACTTCAGGCAGCAATGCAGGAGACCCTTCTTGAAATTGTGTGTCCTTAGCTCAGCTGACTGAGTCAGGCCAACATTTCTGGGCTGATGCCCGCATGGCCAGGGAGGGTGGCTCTGCTCCTAGCCGTAGGTGGCAGCTCCACATTCCTGGCTGACTTCTCAGAAAGTCTGTGCCCATCATCAGCCCTCAAGAGAGACTTACGGATGAGAGTGGGACTGGGTGGGCAGAAAAAGACAAGCCTATGACTGCTTCTGGGGAAAGGACACAGGGGTCGTTTGGTCTTATTAGCTCTGAAATTAGCAGCTTCTGAAGGACTAAGTATTATTTAGGATCAGTTTTACATAAAACCATAGTGACGTTTGGCAAACACACCTGAGAAATAAAAACAAATTGAAAAAACTTATTATAAGAGGAAATTAAAAATTCTTCTTCATGCAAGAAAGGAAGAAAACTATATGTGAATTCTCTTTTTATTGTTGTTAATATTAAAATTAGTTTGACTTGCTAATAAATAACAGTCAACTCATATGCCTTTGAGGCATTTGCAATCATAAAAGGAAATTAATCACCAATATCACAGAGTTAACAACCCATCCATGGATAATTGAGAAGTATTCTTTCCCAAATATCTTTTTTTTTTTTGAGACGGAGTCTTGCTCTGTCGCCCAGGCTGGAGTGCAGTGGCCAGATCTTGGCTCACTGCAAGCTCTGCCTCCCGAGTTTATGCCATTCTCCTGCCTCAGCCTCTCCAGTAGCTGGGACTACAGGCACCCGCCACCTCGCCCGGCTAGTTTTTTTTGTATTTTTTAGTAGAGACGGGGTTTCACCGGGTTAGCCAGGATGGTCTCGATCTCCTGACCTCGTGATCCGCCCGTCTCAGCCTCCCAAAGTGCTGGGATTACAGGCTTGAGCCACCGTGCCTGGCCTCTTCCCCAAATATCTTAAGTAATAAAGACCATCCTCCTAAGTGTCAGAAAAAGGGAGGCAACTTGAAATAGAGGAAGCAGCCGTGGGCCAGGCCTCAGGAGGCCTGGATTCTAGTCCTCAGGTCAGCTGCTAACTAGGTACGTTACCCAGGAATCTGAGCCTCATTTTCAGAACTTGAAAACACTGTATAATTTGGAGTAATTATGTTGTTGAAAATAGTACACTAATCTAAAATGTTTCTAAAGGTCGATACCTTTTAGGTCACCAAGTACAAAGACCGTTTCCGGGTGAAGATGGGCATTTCCCGTCGGTGCATGAGCAAGCCAGTACCTGGCTCCTACTCCCCATTAAGAGGAGGGATAGGTGAGGCTGCGGGCAAAAGTGGGCAGCTGACTCCCCTACCTGTAGCTGGGTGGCGCAGCTCTCACAGCACACGGTATGGCCACAGGGACAGAAGGTGGAGTTGATCTCCTCCTCGCAGCACACCATGCACAGCATGGCTTCCTTCAGCTTGCGCAGCTTCTCCTGCAGCGCCCGGGTCTGCTGGCAGCTGAGGCCCTCACAGCTGCTGCAGTTCATGCTGCTTTCTGAGGACTTCAGAGGTGAGTGTGAAGGGCTCTGGTTGCTTCTTGAAACGAGGTCCACAACGCCAGCATTGTACAGAGCCCTCCTGGCATGGTCATACACCTCCTTTGATGTTCTTTTAATATCAAAGACATATTTCTTGCCAAGGTTAATGTTTTCATTCAGAAACAGAGATGCCAAGTGGCCCTTCAAGTCACGGCTATACTGCATCATGACGGCGCTGGTCACTGTGTCACACCTGCAAGGCAAGATTGAACATCTACTTTAACACCAAAGAGCCCAGCAGCCCTCTTATTAGCTGTTGTCAACAAGAACAAGCAGATGTTTCATATTCTTGTCTGCACGTATGAAAGTAAGTCCTTCCAGTTTTACATCTGGTAGATATCCTCAGTGATTACACCTCTGTTTCCCTAACATCTCCTAACGTTATGGTTTCCATAAAGCAGTAAATACAGAGGGCAGTGAGCACATACCTCCTCCCCAGGACAGATGCTACCGAGTCAAGTTGCTTATGGAAGAAAAAGGGCATCTGCCTTGAAGTCTTGGCTTTTATGTTAGAAATGTCTACAAATATTCCATTCTGTTTCACAAGTTGTATATCTATTTTAACATAAAAAAAGTTTAAAGATGCCTACGACTTAAATTTCTTAACTTTAATTGTCCAAATACCTGAGTCCAATCACAACTTGGCTTCAAAGTACCCTCTGAAATGAGGGGATCAATATTGTTATTAAAAAATCCTTTCGTGCACAGTGAGGATTCAGGATAGCAGCTCTGCCAGAAAGAAAAGATGACCTGTGCTATCCTTCTCCTGGGCAGTGGAGCAGGCCCACCCACTCAGGGTTACCTTTAGGGTAGTCAAACTTGGCTTTGAACCTGAGTGCTAGACTAAGTAAATATTTATTCTCCCAGTTCCCTCATCTTTAACATTAGGGTAATAATACTTAACCTCTTAGGGTTGTTGTATTGATTAAATAGGCGTAGAAATCTCCTAACACACTTTGTGTCCAGATTAACGGCATAAGAAAATATGGTAGGAAGCAAGCAGAGAATGTGTTTGTGTGGCTCACACACATGCACCTTCTGTGGGTAAAACAAGACTACATTAACAAGGACTCCACTGCTACCGCAGAAACAAAATGTTCAGAATTTCCTAAATTCTGTACTAGACTCATTGACACAACAATCCAAGGAACTGTAGAAACCTGGTTGTCACCTAAAAACCTTAGAGTTGCGGTGCCGAGGTGACCAAGCACATGAGATACGTGCCTGTAGAACGCGTGTGTCTCTGTTATCGCTCTGTAGAGCCCGCTGGCCGCCCTGGTGCTGATCATTTTAAACAAGAGCACAATGCTGTTCCCAGACTCCTTGGTGACCGTCAAATATACATTCTTTCCTGACTGGGTGGCCATCTGCACCACAGGATAAGCTATCCTAAGAGATGGGAAGAGAAAAGAAAGCAGATCTAGAAGGACTGATTCTTCACCATGTGTGTGCCTTTGTGGGATCCCCATTTGCTCATGACCTAGGAGAAAAATCAGACGCTTCCTCTGGGGCTATCACATCACCATGATGCTGCCTCGTCATAAAGATACAGTGAAAAGCAGTTGGGCATATGTGGAGGGAAGTGTAGGAGCAAGTGCTGGGTGTGTACACATGCATGTCTAGAGGTGAAAACAAGTTTTTTATGGCAGTGAATGGGTTATTTGGAAAATGTTAACTCTGCCACATTGTATACCTTGAGTAACATTTAAAATGGTTATTCAGGCCTGAATAAAATTAATATACATACCAAAATGAAATATTTCATTCCCAAGAGCTGACTGTCGAGTAAATCCCTTCCTACTTTCTATTATGTTGAGAGCTACAGATGTATACACATGCTTAGGTCAAAGAAGTTAAGTCTTGGCTTACCTATTAATTGGGCTAAAGTCATCTTTACAAATTGAGATTCCTTCAGGTCCAACCCCAATGAGCAGTTTCTGCCCTTCGCTATCCCTCACAGAATGCCATTCTATGCCATAGTTTTCCATTGCCGACACAATCTGCAAAACTTGGTATTCAGCTGAAGCCTGGCTGGTCCCCTCTAACTCCTTATGTTTTGCAACAATGCTGGAGGACACCAAGAGGACAGAGAATTAAGTATACAGATATTAACTTTAGAGATAAACCCATGTAGTCTTCACAAGTGAAATATACTAACACTGATGAATCACAACAGCTTAAAACTTATGTATTACTGATGTTTCTTGTATTTAGCGAACTTACTATAAAAAACCTCTAAGACACTGGGATCTCAACTATTAAATACTTGGTAAAAACACTTTGGGGATGCTGAATGGGTAATGAATTGAAGAATTATGGAAAGTCTCTAAAAATATACATAAGTCAAATTTACATATTGGAAAGTCTCATGCATTTGTCCACATATAGTTTATAAGTATAAAGCTGACCCCTGAGGCCCCTGTAGCCAGGGAAGGAGGCAAGCCAACAAACCACAGGAGTCAACCTGGCGTGGAGGCCACCCTCAGTTGAGCCTTCAGATGAGACAGAGTTCCACCTGCAGCTTGACTACTGTCTCATGAGCCAGAGGACCCTGCCAAGACATGGCCAGGTTTCTGACCTACAGAACTGTGAGACAATTTTTGTTGTTTTGAGCCACTAAGATTTGGGGTAACCTGTTATTCAGGAATAGATAACTAAAATGCCTATGTTAGATCTCCTGGTTTAATTCTTGCTGGGATGAAGAAAACACCAATATACATAATAGATTTTTTTATTTTAGGAGATTTGTACTTAAAGGCAGAGATTCAAAAAATTCTCATTATATAGCATTTCATATTGTGTTTATATATTTTTCAAATAAAAGGCTAACAAATTTAAAAAAAATACTTGGTTAAATTGGGCAATGGCCCAGTCTTAACCTCATGAATTATGTGTATGTACCACAGATTCATCTTCTTCTGGAAATGCTTATACATTTGATAGCTCTATGAATATAAGCAGTAGCCCTGATGGCAGCCTCACCTGTTCAAGGTGGCAGAGGAGAGCTCCTTGGCACACAGCTCCTCATAGTTATACTTGGCAGTGTTCTGGTTGTAGTCTCCAAACTTGGTCTGGGCCAGGAGGGCACTGAGTTCCACTGCCTGCTCTGGGGAACACAAAAGGTGGCCTGCCAAGAGGGCCTCCTTGATGTGCAAGAAAAAGATATGCCTGCAGAGCAAGGTGAGAGTGAGGTTATGCTTGGGGATAACCTGACATCAATCTCAGCCTACTTAGCAATTTCACAGTCACTTTTAAGGAGAGCAATTTAAAAAGTCACACTGAAAATACTTAACATTAAAGAACTTTAAAAAAAAACCATCAGTATTAAGACAAAATCAAAGTAAGAACTGAGTTTCTTTGGAATAAAAGTTGTGACTCCAACAAGATAAACTTATTTAATACAAGTTTGGTAACATTAAGGCTACAAAACATAAAATAATTACACATACGTTTCTGCATTATAGTGTTTTAAAATAAATTATTTTAATCAGAAAAAATGTATCTTGACATAGATTCTCATAGAATCTTAAGGAACCCTATACATAAAGACAAAATTCTCACCTTTATTCAAATGATACCCCTATCTCTAGTCTCAGTGCCAGCTTCTCTCCTAAGAATCACAGGAAAAATGTCCAATCTCCTATAGGCTTCACCACCTGGATATTCTTCACTACCTCAATTTCGGCTCATTCAAAACCAAACTCCATATATTCTTTCCAAAGCCCTTTTTCTCCCAATGGAGACCACAGACTGACTTTGGACTCTGTCCAATTTCACTTGACTTTCTTGTCTCTGAAAACTATTTAAATCCAGTTCTATGCTCCTGTTTGTACCTCCTCAATACTACTTGCAGGAAGAATTTACGCTATTCTCTGAGCTGCTCTCCTCCTCCAGACTCCATGCAGGCAGCCTACCTTCCATGCTGCTTGTTTCTAGTGTAAACTTGTCATTTCTCTGCTCAAAATCCTTCAAGGGATCTGTACGGCTTGCCAAGGGAGCACGTCATTAACGTGGAGCTGAGGAGTCTCCGCCATCTGGCCCCAGCTTTCCAGCCACGTCTCCTGTCATTCCCTGCAGCTGCCATGCCCCAGGAGAGGGAACAGTTCCTCTCTCTGGAAAATCCAGGAAGCATGTTCATGCCATGGTGTCTCTGGTCTTGCTGCTCCCTCTGTCCTGATGGCCATTCTTTCTGTCCCCTTGCTTGGATACCCATTGGTCTGTATCACATGCAAATCCTCTATTCCTCTACTACAGTATTTGACATAACATGTATATTATATATGACTTCTTAAGTGCCTCGAACATCAGAGAGCTCCAAAAATGCACATAAGACTGCATATTATGTGTGATTAGTTTACTTTCCAACCTTAGTTTCATCCTGTTTGAGCCTCTCCTAGTTGTATACAATACTCTACATTTACTAAAAGGTATGTCACACTTAAAAACTCCTGTAAAATTCAGATACTCGTCACACTGCACAAAACTCTGAAGAGCATCTAAACTGCTGTAGACAGATTGGCCTCAGTTATAACATGTGTCCCTGGCCAATGTGAAGTTTTAACCTTCCTTTGATGACTTGTCATAACCTCTCAAACAAGGTTAATATTGCCACAATATTCCTCCCATTAACAAATGAATTATAACTTTGGCCAGGTGCAATGTCCCTAACACTGCTTCTGTTTATAATATATCTGTGTCTGACATTCCAGGTAGAGGAACATGAACGAGTAAGAATCAGCTAAGAGGAGACAGTGAGGCTACAAATCTAAGGAAGTGCTACACTGAGAGTCTAAAATGTCTGGCTGACAAGAGCCATTAATCTTATTTTCACTAAGAAGTGTTTAAATTCAATGTTTTGTGCATTCTGTAATGATAAAGAAATATTTAAAATGATGAAACTCTGCCAAATACTACAGTTTTTTTCTTTTTTCAAAGTCCCTGTAAAGAAATCATAGTAAGAATGTGTAATAGCCTGAAAGAAGATAAACATGCTTTTTATTAACCCAAACATCTGCTAATCTTTAAAGTATTTCTGATATACTGCTGAACTGAGAAGGGAGCCCCCACTGGGGCAAAGGAATCACCACAAAAATAACTTGCTGTAAAATAGCTCTCTGAGGACTGAGATCTAGCATTCTCAGCAAGCCACGGTTTACCACACTGTTGCAGGCCTCAAAAGGTTTCTTAGATGACCATTTGATAAACGTCATCTTGGTGAATGTACCCACCTCTGTATTCAACTGGGGTGGAGGCGTGCTGTTAGGAAACTAAAATCTGCATCTATGCTTATGTTAAAGAAGAAATTATGCTCTGAAAGATTTGAAGAATATTGCCACAAACTAAGTCTTCTTAGTTTAATTACTGCTTATGTAAAAGTGGTGTCTTTTTTTTTTTTTTTTTTTTTGAGATGGTGTCTTGCTCTGTCACCCAGGCTGGAGTGCAGTGGCATGATCTCAGCTCACTGCAACCTCCGCTTCCTGGGTTCAAGCGATTCTCCTGCCTCAGCCTCCTGAGTAGCTGGGACTACAGGTACCCACCACCATGCCTGTCTAATTTTTGTATTTTTAGTAGAGACGGGGTTTCACCGTGTTAGCCAGGATGGTTTCAATCTCCTGACCTTGTGATCTTCCTGCTTCGGCCTCCCAAAGTGCTGGGATTACAGGCAAAAGTGACTTTTAACTTATTTTTCAAGTCTAAAGTTAGAGACTAGCTCCTGCTTTACTAAATAGTGAGAAGAGTTTTGAATCAATTCCACGTCTTTTTGCAACCTGTCCATGCCTACACTTCTGGAGAGACAGTGGCCAAAATCAAAGGCAAAGAAGCAGTAACAGAATGTAAACAGGTGGCAGGCAGCCTGAGAGCACCACTGATCCTTCTCAGCATATGGGCCAGAATTTAAGAAAAGGTCTAGCAAGGGGGATGATTGACCTTTTGGACATACTCCACATTCTAGCCTGGACTGCAGAGGATGCCTGGTAAGCATGAAAAATCCTTCTCCTTACTGTCAATGTCAGCTTTCTGATAGGCCCTTCCTGCATTTTGCAGTTTCATGGCTATAAAGCAACCTTTTCATTTCCAGTCAATAAATATTTGTCTTGCATTGCCTCTGTGCCCAGCCCTAAGCTGGGGTTATAGGGTAAACATGTCTGAGAGTTCCTTTTTAGATGGACGTACAGCCTTTTAGAATGAAGAGACATATCCCATCAAAATAACTCCAGCCACAATCTAGCTTGTGGGTGACAAGCTTATGTTCTCCAGGAGAACAGTACGACGGAGTACTGGTAGCAAAGGTCAGCACTCTAACAGGCTCTTTCCAAGACAGAGGATAGCAGAGCTCAGAGATACGTTTCTAACAAGAACTTCAATGATGGCTCAATATTTATGGGTGGTTTTGAATCAAGTATTTTCTCTTAGTATTTTCCTCTCAAACCATCTGGATTGTAACTATCTGGGCTCCTGGGTTTTGCCCCCTCCTTTTTTTTTTTTTTTTGTAAAGTAGGCGAAAGGTTACCAATCATATCAAAACAAGCAGAAGTGGTCAAAGAAGTTGTGCCTGCAGTGAATGCTCTTGCACTAAAGATCAAAAGTAGATGACATATTCAATTCAATATAGGCTACATCCTAGAATCACAAACAGAAAGAAAGTCTTTGGAAAAAACTGTTTTCTTTGTCTTAAGCAAATGTCCATGAATATGTCCTATGAGCACAAATTAAGCTCGAACTGCACCTTTTAAACATTCTTCGGGTTATACCTTCTAATTCATGACTCTTCTCTAAGTTTTACCCAGTTACTGAGAAAACTGACATTTTGGGGCCCCAGGCATAAGATTCTGGCTAACTCATGTCCTGGCATCATGGGCACAAATGAATTAACGTTTACTGAGCATTATGGACGATTTTTTTTTTAATGGAGTGAATGTGAGGATATGCCAAATTTTAATTTTAAAAACGAATCACATATTCTTACTGTATTTTTCTTTCAAAGTACTTCAAATTTTCTCTCTTTTAAAAATTAATTCCTTCTTACAGTGCTAAGGAATGAAGTTAGATCATTTACCTTTTAAGAGTTGTAATCAGAGAACTTTTCTCTAAACACTGGCTTGTCTCATAAAGCAATTATCGAGGAATCAAAGCAGAGCTTCCTGCAAACCAATTGGAAGCTATTGATCTGCGCATCACAGAGGGTTCCTCTCGGTTACTGCCCTCCAGTTGCCTCACCAATGACACCATTTTGAAGAGCTTTTAATGACAAATGTAAAATAACTATATCCAGATTCATTATTAAACTCAAAATTTAAGAACTAACCTACATCTTTAAAACAGCTAAGTAGCTATTTTTTTTTCAAACTCTCAATTACCAATAATTGAACTGTATTTCTCCTGGAAAGCCACGGCTGACTCTAGCCATAGGGAGTAATGGCTGGTTCTGCTCTCCCCTTGTCAGAAGCCACTGTGATCACCAGTCAGCCCGCCTCAGTCCAGTGAGTCACCTAACCACAGTTTATTTTAAACCAAACTTTGACTGCCCAGTTATATTTAAAAACTCTCAAATCACAACAGAATTGCTATGAGAGTTTTTTGTTTTGTATCTTTCATTTCAGTAAAACACAAGTCAGTTCAAGATGGATCACGGGCCTAAATGTAAAAGCTAAAATCGTAACGCTTTAAAAACTAAACGTAAGAGTATCTTCATGACTTCCAGGTAGCAAAGATTTCTCAGGACACAGCAAAAATCACAAAAGAAGAGAGTGGATCAATTAGGCTTCACCAGAATTAAAAACTTCTACTCATAAAAGGCACCAGAAAAACAGGTAAGCCACAGGAGGAAATACATTTACAAAACATGTATCTGACAAAGGACTGGTATCTAGGGTACATGAAGAATTTGTACAACTCAAAAAAAAAAAAGGCAAACAACAAAAATGAGTAAATGACTTGGATACTTTGAAAAAGATACATGAAAGGCCAATAAAAACATGAACCAGTGTTTAATATTAATTGTCAGAGAAATGCAAATTAAAACCACAACACTCTACCACTACATACCCACCAGAAAGCTGGCAGGTATGTGGAGGAACTCGACTCTTACATTCTTGCTGGGAGTACAGAATAGCACCATTGCCAAATAGCTTTGGGAAAAGGTCTGGCAGTTATAAAATGAAATGATT